GTCAGAACTTATTCAGCAAATGTGTTTCCATCTCTGCTTTTGAGCATTAACTCTTACAGGATGGGGGAAATTGGTCTTGGTGGAGGTTTGCACTCTCTGAGTGCTTCTAGTTACAGAATGCTTTTGTAAGATTACAAGTGCAAAATACAGTTAACATCATTCTAAATGTTGATTGTTGTTATTACAACATTAACTATATCTGTATTTTAAACAGTATTATGTTTTAATACTATTAAAACATAATACTATGTTTAATATTTGATTAAAATGTAGTATTTTAGAATATAATCTAGTATAGTTAGAACACCTTTGATCAAACTGCCACTTAACTGAAACATGCAACGAGACTTGGACTTGAGTTCAAGAGACTTGAGACTTGACAAGAATTTTTGGTCAAAGACTTGGACTTGACTTGGACTTGTGCACATCTCTGCCAGAAAGTGAATGTAGCTGCGATTATTATTATTTTTTAAGCTTCTGCAACATCAAAAACATACTGAACTGTGGTTTTTGTGTTATGTTACTCCTCTTACAGGATAATCAAGTCTTGGGGAATTAACGTTAACGTTTGCGTGGTCTGATATCACTTTTTTTTAAGATTTGAGTTGTTTCAAATGGCAGCAAACTACTTTAGCCTCTGCAGCGTTCACGCTGGTTGTTAGCTTCTTCTAAACTTTATTTCTCCAAACTGAGGTCTTTCATAAAAGCATCTACAGCAKGTTAGATACTGATTAATTTTAATTTTCCCACAGAACCCTACTTTAACATGGCCAAATATTCCTTTAATTATATTTTTATTTGTCACAAGCTTTATACAGTATTATTTTGTGTTTTCATTTTGGATGATAGAGAAAGGCCAACGGGGCTCCTAACGGGTTTTATGGGGAGATCGACTGGGACAGATATGTGAGTACTGAATGTGTATGATGATGATGATGATGATGATGATGATGTTCTSTAGACCTGACATCAGGGTTTAAATCTGAAACTCAGCTCTCATGTGATTGGTCCTTTCTCTCTGCAGGCTTCTCCTAATGTTGATGAAGAGGGCTTCAGTGTACAGCCTGGTGATGAAGATGATGATATCCTTTCTTTCGGACACGTTGCCTACAAACATATTGACTTGCTTGGTTGAGTGACTCATTGCTTGAATCAATAGTCCCTGTGTGTGTGCGTCTCTGCAGACCAAGTGAGGAGACAGACACTACATTTGGACTCGTGTCCAGCTGTCCAGTTTGGATTAGATTCAGATCATCGATGCAGGATAATTAACTGAGACAGATCAGACGGATAGGCTCTCCAGTTTTGCGATGTTCTGGCTCTCAATGTTTCACACGGTCACATTAGTCTCCGTCCTCTGTGCAGCATGTGATACTTCTCCCACTTTGTCCTTGACACGTGTCCACCAGCCTTCAAAGAGAAGCACTTTTTCACCTCCAGCGACTCAGAGGAAGACGAGGACAGCAAGAAAAAGTTCAAAATCAAGATCAAGCCGCTGGTTTCGGACAGTGCCAGGTGTGTCCCTCCATCTATGGATGAGCTAAAAGCCTCGGTGGGAGGCCTGGCGCTCTCTCCCTCTCTGGTGAGCATGGCTGATCTGAGGTCTGACTGACACAGAGCGCTGACAGGGTTTCATTTATCCGATTGTTATGTTAACCTACCGTATTTATTCAAGTATAATGCGTAAAATTTAATCCATAAAATCATCCATAAAGTTGGGGGTGGGGTGGGGGTAGTACTATACTCGGATAAATATTTTTACTTACGTATTTTAACTGAAATATCAGCAAAATTATTGAGTCCGGAAATGAGACCACGTTGTAAAAAGCAGTTGAAACGAGCTCACCTGTGACACTCCTCCATGCTTCAGAGCGAGATAATAACAGATCCAAGCAGGTGACATGATGTGAAAAAWGGGGGAGGGGGAAGCAGTCCTGCAGCTCAGTAATGATAACGAACTAATGACATTAGCGTGTGACCGAGCCGCTGCTGGAACAACAACAAACAC